AGGTTAGTGAGGGTAGAAACCCTTAGCACGAAATGGGACTGTGTTGTCAATCAGGCCGCGATTGTTGTCAATGTGTGCCGCTACACTTGTCAATGTAGCTCTTTAAGTTGTCAATGACAGTTGCGTGCTTCTTGATGCAGGTTTAAGTTACTGATGGTTTTTCAAAGCTTTTGTTTTTGGTTTAGGATTCAGAAGTTAATGAATGGAAAAGCTGTGTTTTTGGTTGGTGTGTGTTGTGATTTAAGTTGGGTGTGTAGAATGATAATGGATGCTCTGTTTTTGGGTGGTTTTCCTCTGTTTTGACATTAGTTTAGTGGCAAAGGAAGAAAAAGATGAAGGTTAGTGAGGCTAGAAACCCTTAGCACGAAATGGGATTGTGTTGTCAATCAGGCCGCGATTGTTGTCAATGTGTGCCGCTACACTTGTCAATGTAGCTCCTTAAGTTGTCAATGACAGTTGCGTGATTCTTGATGCAGGTTTAAGTTACTGATGGCAAGTACGTCTGGAAAACATCTATTTTGCTTTGTTCACATAAGGGGAAAGTTTATAAATGATGGAGAAGATAATATGAGATATGTGGGAGGTAGTGTAAGAACAACCAATGTAAAGGAGGGCACAAGTTATGAAGAATTGAAGGAAATTATATCATCAATTGTTGGAAAAGAAAGCAACTCATTTCTTCTAAAATTCTCAGTTGTGTTTGATAAAAAAACTTTTGTGGAGTTGGTAGATGATGATGGGGTGGAACATTTGATAAAGTTCAATGAAGAAAGTGGTCATGTGTATGTCAAAGAAAATGAAAATGAGGACCACATAGAAGCAACAAGGGATAATATATACAATGGAGGAGCAAGTTGTGTAAGTATAGTTGAACAAAACTGTAAATTGGTGTGAAGGGAATTTTTTGTAAATGGATACACACCAATAGGTAGTTTCTCGTAATTACATGCAACCCCTGTGTTTTTTTGGAATGGGTTGTGAAATAGGTGTAGTTTCATGTATATGAAGGTGTAAATGAAAGTTGACTATGAATTGGCATGTTAGATTCTGCTGTCATTTAAGTTGTCATACCTGCACTTTGTATTGTCATTACACCTGTTATGACTTATCAATAGAGCACTGTCACTTGTCAATTAATTTGCTGATGTAAGTTGTCAACAATATGAATTCAAGTTACATAACTTGTTTTAGTAACATATGATATTTTCAATCACTCTGTCATATTATATTTTTGGTTATTTGTCATATATAATCATTATTAATGAAGTGTCAATGGTGGTACTGTGACTTGTCAATGGTGGCATAGTGACTTGTCAATCATGTCCTTAAGACTTGTTAATGGTGGCGCAGTGACTTGTCAATGGTGGCATTGTGACTTGTCGTTGGTGGCATTGTGACTTGCCAATGGTGGCATACTGACTTGTCGTTGGTGGCACTATGACTTGTCAATGGTGGCACACGGACTTATCATTGGTGGCAATTTCACTTGTCAATCGTCGCACCGTGACTTATCAATGGTGGCACTGTGACTTGCCAATAGAGCACTGTGACTTGTCACTGGTAGCACTGTGACTTACCAATAGAGCAGAGTGACTTGTTAATTGAACATAACTCTGAGTAACACCTTCTGATTAATTATATTTTAATATAAATATTACTTAACATTACAAATAAATAACACCTTCAGTTGTAAAAATTTTGAATATCAATTGTTAATATCCACATATTCATTTGTTATATCACTTGTCATTAACTCATGTTATATTACTTATTAATATTACATAAATTTGTCGATATCAATAAAGATATAAAACAACAAAAATAAAAATGTGAGTTGTCCCCAAGAAATTGGTATCATAACATCTGATAACAAAGATAATAATATTATAAACATAATTTGATCAGTTTGTTACAAAAGGACCTATTGACCATTAAGCTATTGCCCTCATGGCTCACACCCTTAGGTGCCAATCATCTCATAACACATCCTGGCATAACAGAACAAAAAATTAATGGACTCCTCTGTCTCCTCCTCTTGCTCTTGTTGAAGTCCAATAGCATTGACATCACTTCATCCCTATGTTCATTTTGTGGATGGGTAACCAACCACCACAAACAGCCAACCTTCAACTCTTGCAATTCATCATTGGAGTATCGTGGCATGGTATATCCTGCAGCATCACGAATAGCGCCATCCCACTCTTGTAGCTAAGAGAGGACATGAACTCCACATGAATCACTGCCAAGCAAATTCAATATGTAAGCAGCATGCAATTTTTATTGTGAACAAACACAACATAACAGAATCAAACAGAACAACTACACTCACGTATCATTCTGCACATAAACTTTAGCCCATTTCACCATTGGCAAGTCATAGTGCCACCAACGACAAGTCAGTGTGCCACCATTGGCAAGTCATAGTGCCACCAACGACAAGTCACAGTGCCACCATTGACAAGTCACTATGCCACCATTGACAAGTCACAGTACCACCATTGACACTTCATTAATAATGATTATATATGACAAATAACCAAAAATATAATATGACAGAGTGATTGAAAATATCATATGTTACTAAAACAAGTTATGTAACTTGAATTCATATTGTTGACAACTTACATCAGCAAATTAATTGACAAGTGACAGTGCTCTATTGATAAGTCATAACAGGTGTAATGACAATACAGAGTGCAGGTATGACAACTTAAATGACAGCAGAATCTAACATGCCAATTCATAGTCAACTTTCATTTACACCTTCATATACATGAAACTACACCTATTTCACAACCCATTCCAAAAAAACACAGGGGTTGCATGTAATTACGAGAAACTACTATTGGTGTGTATCCATTTACAAAAAATTCCCTTCACACCAATTTACAGTTTTGTTCAACTATACTTACACAACTTGCTCCTCCATTGTATATATTATCCCTTGTTGCTTCTATGTGGTCCTCATTTTCATTTTCTTTGACATACACATGACCACTTTCTTCATTGAACTTTATCAAATGTTCCACCCCATCATCATCTACCAACTCCACAAAAGTTTTTTTATCAAACACAACTGAGAATTTCAGAAGAAATGAGTTGCTTTCTTTTCCAACAATTGATGATATAATTTCCTTCAATTCTTCATAACTTGTGCCCTCCTTTACATTGGTTGTTCTTACACTACCTCCCACATATCTCATATTATCTTCTCCATCATTTATAAACTTTCCCCTTATGTGAACAAAGCAAAATAGATGTTTTCCAGACGTACTTGCCATCAGTAACTTAAACCTGCATCAAGAATCACGCAACTGTCATTGACAACTTAAGGAGCTACATTGACAAGTGTAGCGACACACATTGACAACAATCGCGGCCTGATTGACAACACAATCCCATTTCGTGCTAAGGGTTTCTAGCCTCACTAACCTTCATCTTTTTCTTCCTTTGCCACTAAACTAATGTCAAAACAGAGGAAAACCACCCAAAAACAGAGCATCCATTATCATTCTACACACCCAACTTAAATCACAACACACACCAACCAAAAACACAGCTTTTCCATTCATTAACTTCTGAATCCTAAACCAAAAACAAAAGCTTTGAAAAACCATCAGTAACTTAAACCTGCATCAAGAAGCACGCAACTGTCATTGACAACTTAAAGAGCTACATTGACAAGTGTAGCGGCACACATTGACAACAATCGCGGCCTGATTGACAACACAGTCCCATTTCGTGCTAAGGGTTTCTACCCTCACTAACCTTCATCTTTTTCTTCCTTTGCCACTAAACCAACGTCAGAACAGAGGAAAACCACCCAAAAACAACCCAAAAACAGAGCACCCATTATCATTCTACACACCCAACTTAAATCACAACACACACCAACCAGCACGAAGGCTCACGATTTTCAGCGGGTTGTGAGGGGAATTTGAGCATCGCGATGGGTTTTCACCAGATTTCCAGCAGCACAAAAGCACAACAGGGTTTCAGCTTTCTTCCGGTCAAACAAAAAACAGAGGCTCTAATCTCCTTTCAGAATCTCATAAGCAAGGGCAAGAGGGTAATTTCCAGATTCTGAAAATTGCATCTAAGTCCCTTTGGGACTTCAGAAAAATTATGGGATTTCAGGGGACCTTTTTGCTGTATTTTTGGTTCTGTGGGACCTCAATGTCATTTTCCCTTTTTCTTCTTCACATTTGTCATGCCCTCCTCAACTGATTCAGGCACTTCTTAACATAACAGTTTAGGTTCAATATTATAAACTATCTCATCTTCAATTCAATTATTTTATTAAATTAAATTCACTTCATTTGACACAATCATGATTTAATTACTTATTATTTATTACAAAATTTAAATGTATAACATGTAATACATTGGTCAATATACATATTAACAAAAATTCTCTAATATAATCTACTTAATGGTTTTTAAATTTATAATATTATATTTTTTAATAATCAAATATCTCAATTTATTTTTTTTGCCTGGAATAAACTTTCTAGTGGTTCCCAAATCGCTAGAAAATTGGAAAAAAAAGAGTGAAAAATTTCGTAAAATTTAAATTTGCCACCATATTTCTAGTGGTTCCTAACCACTAAAAATTATTGGCGCCAATTCCAAAATTTGGTTTCCCGGCAAAATTTAATTTCCTCCAAAATTTCTAGCGATTATTAACCGCTAGAAATTTTTAGCGTCATAATAAAACTTTTTGTTTCAAGGAAAAATGAAATTTTGCCCAGAACTTTTTAGCGGTTTGTAACTGCTACAAATTTCGTCTCATTGCCGTTCAACTTCTTTTTTTTTTAGCGGTTATTTTAACCGCTAGAAAGTTTCTGGCATTTTGACCATATTATGTAGTAGTTCTCATAACCGCTAGAAATCTGATTTTTGCATTTGGTTTTCTAGTAGTTTGTCTAACCGCTACAAATGTTATTTATTGCAGTTAAAACAACTAGAAACGTCATATTTTAACCGCTACAAAATCCATGTTTTTTTGTAGTGAAATAAGTGTGAATTAAATATCATTGATTTCTGATTGCTTTGATTGGACACACATACGAAAGATACTGCAAAGTGAAAGACAAACATTAAACAAGGACTCAAGTAACCTCTTCGCTATCCTCTCTTAAAATCTTCTGCCCCATGTACCTGCGTCAAAGTTGTGGTAAAAATAAAAAGTCATTTAATAAGCTCCAATTACGATAATTTTATGGACTAAATTTAGATGTTCCTCAATTACTAGCCATTTTATTCACTGATTCTACATGAAAAGTAACTTCGAAAAACTTAATTAGATGATCCTCAGCTATGACTAAAACCCAGAGAAAGAAAGAAATAAAGAAAGAAAATCATCCTATATATGATGTTTTAATTGAATAATAAACACCTAAACATTCTAGCAGATTCACAAGTCTATGAATATATATGTTAATAATGTACTTTACCTTCCGAGCATCATTACAGTAGCTTGAGGATTGGTCCCGGGTGCGCTAAAGAAGGTTGAAGTATCAATAACTCTCAAAGAATCCACACCCATAACTTTATAATCTCGATCCACAACCTTATCAACAAGACAGCCTCCATGATAGTGATAGATTGTTAAGACTGTGTCTATACAATACTGTTCCAAAGAGAAAGCAGCACTTGGATGTTTTGGCCTCAAGTTCACTGGTAAGCTCAAGACCAAGTCAATTAGGGCTTGCACCGGCATATTCTTATATCGGAACTTTGAGAAAGCTTTGGAGTTTATCACATCAATGATGGTTTTCATGCCTTCAACACAGATCCTAAGGTCTTCGGGTTCCTTGAAGTAGTTGAATGTGACTAATGGATTGTCGTTTGGATCAATGGTATGCAACTCAAGATGGCCTTTTGAGAGCGGTCCCGTGACTTTTTCCACTATGAACCCCCCTTTAAGATTTACACTCCCAAGGGGTCCAAAAGTTTTCATCCACATAGTCTCATTTGCTTGAGGGGAAAACATGGAGGGTTGGCCCGTCTTCAAATAAGAACCACTTAGGTTATCACTTCAAATTGATAAATTTTTTTCTTAGGAGACATTGTAAGTTTAAAGTTACAAGGATAATTGAACCTATGACCTCCCACTTATAAGAGAACTTTTATGTCACTAAACTATAAGGCCATTAGTTTCTTCAAACATAATTAAACTGTATGCAATTCAATTATACATTATATTGCATGTTATTAAATTTACTTCTTAAGCTATTTCAAAATATATGAATCCATTCAAAGATGTATGCATGGTCATGCTATGTTGATTTGTTAGGGTTTTGTATTCATGAAAATTTGTTTTGACTAAGACTTTTTCTGTTTGACTGCACAAGTATCTTTCTATTAGAATCTATTTGAGATATCATTAAGTACTAAATGTGACTTCCTCTTTTAATGAAAAGGTAAACATTAGTTTGTCATATTGTATAGAACTTAGATTTATTATTAAAGATAAGGTATGTGAACTAACTTGGTGAGTATTGCATAATACTAACCTTATTGGATAAAGTCTCAAGTATCCTTTGAAGTGCAAGAGCCCAAGTAACCCTCAAGCCCAATCCACTGCCACCTTCAATGTAGCTTCCAAACTTCGTGATGCCCACAATTTGGACAAAAGAGAGTTCCACAGGCAGAGGAGAAGGCACAACCAAAGCATTCATTGGGTTATCAGCCATGCCTTGCCCCACCATGGGCTGATCCAACACCAATCTAATACCATGGGCCTGAAGATGTTGGGCTGGCCCAATCCCACTCAGCATCAGTATTTGTGGGCTTCCAATCGCACCTGCTGACAATATTATCTCTCCCTTCCCTTTCAAGTATGCTTGGTGTGTGATTCCATCCTCGTCTTTAAATGTTACTCCATACGCTTGTTGCCTCCCACTTTTTGTGCCTGGAACTTCAACTTTTGTTTGTCATGTTAGTGATAAAACTATCCTCAAATTGCTTTTTTTCCCCACTACTGGTGTGTGTTTAAGTATATCAAAATACTGTTTAAATATCAGAGACTAAGATTACTTTTGAGGAAAATGTAAAATGGAAAGGGAGAGGGAGAGTGAGCGGACCATCATGGAAAGGGAATTTTATTTTTATTTTTTATTTTGGCTGAAAATGGAAAGGTCATTTTCAGACTAAATTTGTTTGATAATTATAGGCAGGAACAAATCATAATATTTTTTTTTTCCATTTAAGGTTGGATAGAAAACAAGCAAGAAATGAAAGAAATAAATTAAAGTGACTAAATCAGATGACCCAAGTTGAGTTTTCAAAATCATGAACGCTATCTTGATATAAACTGGAAGGCTAATATTTTTAAGAGAATTAGCAGTTAAACATATATAAAAAATAATGGTCGTTTTTAAAAATATACGAATAAAAATATTTTAAATAAGAAAGGATAAAATTATCAAAATTCTTCATAATCTCGGGCAAAATTGACACACTTTTTTATAAATAGAAGGGCTTTCAAGAAAACCTGACATATTAATTTTCCATCCCCATTTTTTGACACTAATTAAGCTCGTCAATCAATACCAACGGATATTGATTTTTAACTTTTCTTTTCAAAATTATCTCCACCTTTAAATAAAAAGAATGAATAGTTTGTATTTAATATTTTATAAAACTATGATTATAATATTTATAAAATTAAATTTTTCTATACTACTTTAGCCCCAACGAGTGATTGTTGTTCTATTTATAAAATATAAATTGTGCAAGTCAAATTTACAGTTCCAATTTATTTACTTATTTTTATAAGGGAAAATGATGAAAAAAGAAGCTGGCAATTAACTGCAATATTCCAATTCAGATACCTAAGAATTCAAAATCTCAAAGAAGGAAGTGGTATCTGATCTGGTATTTTGTAAATGTAATCAAATGATTAAAATGCCCTTATATCAAATTTGGGGGAAAAAAACTATTAAATTTGTCAGTTCCAATATATTTCTTGTAATTTGTTATTCAACATTTCTCATTACCAGTTCTCAACTTATAAATAAACTTTTTGATATAAGGGTATTTTTGTCATTTAACTATATTTGTAAAATAATCAATTAGGCATTACTTCCTTCCTTTAAATTTTGAAGTCTTAGATACCTAAATTGAAATATTATAATTTTTGATTTCTTTTTATGTCATTTTTTTTATAATTTAGTTTTACAAAATATTAAATCTAAATTAAAACATGGAGAAGAGATTTTAAAAAGAAAAGTAAAGAGGAAAATGTCTAAATCCACATAATTATCTCGTAAGCCACGAAACATTGACACTTGAAAGTGTTCTGTTGCACGTACGTGTCACCATATCATATCAAAACAAGTTACTCTCTCTACTACTTATTATTCACATGTACCAATAAAAACAATTAAAAGTATTATATTTATGATAAAATTTAAGTAATTTTTAATATTACTCTTCTTAGCTACATTAAATTCTAACATTATATCAATTCCTGCTCTCCCACTATTCTTGTTAAATAATAACATATGTATAAAATATTTAATGCTAATTAAAAATATCAAATAATCTTATATATCGAACAAAAGATTCAACTAGAGGGAGTAGAACAAAACACAACTTGAAAAAGAGCATACTCTTTCTGTTCTTAATATAACACTTAACTTAAAAGTTAATATTAGTTCTATATGTAAAACTTATTTCATGTGTTTATCATTTTTTTTTCAAATTAACTCTATTTATATTCTCTCAACAATAATTAATCGGGGGAATTAAGAAAAATAATTTGAATGTTTTAGAAAAAAAAATCATATTAACTAATTTAATTAGTTAATTAGGAGGAGTAATTGTGATCAGTTACCTGGACTGTCCCGAAACAAAATCTTTTGCACAGTGGCATGAAGATAGACAGAAATGGCGTCGGGATCAGCATAAGTCAACAAATCAGCAGCAGTATGCCTACTGCCACTGTCATCAAATATAGAGCCTCCAACCTTAGTCCCAATCAAATGATCATAACTAAAACCATTGTAAGGCAACACGCCCACTTCCTTCAGCCCATCTCTCAGCGCCGACTGCCACTGCCTCACCGTCGGCTCAAACGCCACCACCTTCTCCACCCACTCATACGACTCCTCCACCAGCCCCTCATCCCAGCCGGCTTCCCTCACAAACCCGGGCTCCGCCCGCGAATAAAACCCAGCATTTATTACCGACCCGCCGCCAAGGGCCCGGGCTCTGGCATTGAGAACACCGTCGGTGGATATGAACTGCTGGGCGAAGGAAGATGGGGTGGTGTCTGTGAGGGAATTGAGGAAGTTTTTAAGGTTGACTTTGTCAGGTTGGGTGTAGGGTGAGCCTCCTCGTTCAAGAACAAGGACAGTGGCTCCTTCTGAGAGTGTTGCTGCCAAGGGACACCCACATGTTCCTCCGCCGATCACTATGTAGTCATATATTGATACTTCTGGTGCAGACTTTGCTTCTTTAATGAACGTCAAATATGGGGCTGTATAAATTACACAGTCAGAAAGAAAGAGATCCGATCAGTTTATTTTTTCTATAGCTCACACACCCATCGTATCTTTTATAGAGAATTCAAACTCACAATCTCATCCTAAAAGACTTTTATCACAAGTTCTTGGTGTCACGCTACTGTAAAAAAAAAAAAAAAACACTAAATGACCGGCGGAATAATTTCTGTCGGAAAAATTCACTGAAAACACACGGTGAATTCCATTGGTAAAATTACCAACGGAACTTCTGACGGAAATTATTGACAAAAATATTTTGTCAAAAATTTCGTCGATAATTTTATTTTCTGACAAAGTTAGTCACAAAAATTTTTTATTGGAAATCGATGGCAAACTCCGTCGAAAAATTAATGACAAAATTTTCAACAAGTTCAGATTATCTGAGTCCTCTAATAGCAGTAAAAGTTTAGAAATGAGAGTTATTATTAGACAATTGAGTTATTAATATTTGTGACTTTTGTTGACATTTGAAATTTAAAGTATCCAGGGCCTATGTTTAGACTATACTTTTGAATTATAACATGTCTAGTTTTCAATAAATTAATCATCTCGAAAACTTTCCATCAAAAAGCCATCAATGAATTATGATGAAATGTCCGTCGGATGTTACTCACAGAATTTCAAATTCTATCACAAATAAAATTAGCAATGAAAAAATTGGAGACAGAATATATTTCTGTTGGAAATTCCGTTGGTAGTACCTTTCTGCAGAAAGTGTGCTGGTAATTTTAATTTGCGGGACTAATTCCATTGCTAATCGGTTTTTTCTTTTGTAGTATCAGTTGAATTACAAAACCTAACAAAAAGATGGGACAAGCTGAACTAGGATAAGGGGGTGGATATAAATATCAGCAAAGAAGTATAATCATACGTGCTGGAAGAACTACTTTTAATTCAACCGAATAATATTGAAATATGACTGAACATCGTATGATTATACAAGAAGAACAATCAATCCAATTTCATTGTATGAAGAGAAAGTTCAATTTCAATCTCATCTTAAAAGTTAGAAGTCAATGTGTGTGTGCATACAAAGTGTTTCAATCTTATCTTAAACCTGTAAGAGTTTGAAAAGATGACAATACATACATACATAAATATGTGTGTGTGTGCACGCGCGCGCTTTAAGGAAAGAGATTCAATCCAAATATAAATTAAAACTCAATCAACAAAGAAAGGGATGTATGGGAGAAAATGAAGAAGTACGAACTGAATAAAATTCATCACTCTCGCTGAAAATACATAGACAGACGTACCCTTTTCGGAGTAAGAGAAGGCATTAAAGAACAAGAGGCTTCCAGTAAGAAATGGCCAAATAAATTGCAGAAACCTCCAACCCATTTCAGCTTCGTTTTCTCTTCGGAAAGTGGAGCATTCACACACACAGATATATGTACCCCTTTTTCTTCACAGAAAGGAATCTCTTCGTGCTTCGAAATTAATGTTACACCAACCTTTGCAATGTTAGTTGCATATGAAAATGATTTCCAGTGTGGTCTTCATTATCTTTTTCTTTTCTTTTTTTTTTTTTTTGGGCGTAGCGTCTTCATCTTATTCTATCGTCCAAATTGACTATCCACATTTATTTTATTTTACTTTTATATTCTTAATATTTTCGGGATTAATAAATACGGAATTTGAAAAAAATTTATAGCGTTTACTTTTTTGAAGGAAACTATTTAAATTGAATTTAAATAATTAATACAAATTCCATCATAAAAATAATTAAGCACGTGTGATTGAAACAGGACAGGGTATAGACTATAGTTAAGTTAAAAATAAAAAGCAATTGGTGAATGGTAAAATGTCGTGGTAAAGTGACAATGAAGAATAATAAATTTTGCTATTACGGAATTAGACTTATTTGACGTTTTATATTTGTCATCAATTGAACAAAAAAGCTTCAAGTATCCTAAGGTGATGGTTGAGCAATGACTTATTTAATAGTTATTTTTTCAATCATCGAATAAGCTACGTGTGAGTAAATATTTGAGTATGGCCAAAAACGCATCAAATTGTTTCTTTTATATTAAAAAATTATAAAAATTTATAGCAATTTGATGGTTTTCAGAAAACTACCATCAAAGAGTTGAGAGTTGACACCCATGAAATGGCGGGGAATTGAACTCGAACTCTGTAGTGGGTACAAAAAATTGTTTGCAGCTAAAAGAATTAATTGAATAATTTAATGGAGGAAGACGGAAAAGGAACATCAAAATAACTCCAACTCGGAAGGTGCTTTCAATTTTCAAAATCAGCCATAGTTTTCTGATTTTAGAATATATAATATTTAAATTGTTGAGAAATCGGAACTGAATGCATAAATCTTTCAAACTTTATATTGCATTATATTGATTACAATCGGAATTTCTGGATTATCTATCAAATTTATATTATAGGTGTTTAAAAACGGAGTTTTGGAAAGAAAAGCATATGTGTGTATCCATTTTTTTAGGTTAGTTGAAGTAACAGCTAGTCTAGAAAATAATTTTTTCAAATTGATTGTGCAATCGGTCTAAAAAGCTAACTGACTTTCCAAGCCGCTCTTATGTCGCGTTTAGAAAGGTATTTCTTACCAATCTAAGCCAATTCTGCACTAGAGAGCAAGCAATGTACAAATGCAAAAGTTTTCCTTTTTGCGTATTTGATTCGCTATTTTGAGCAAATTGAGTCTTAATCATTTCATAAGCATTCTTTGAAGATTATTTGGGTTTAAATAGTGGTGGTTGCAAGTTATTATTCACAAATCTTTAAACGAAATCTCTCTCCATTTTGCATTTCATGAACATGGGTTTGTTACTTTCCTACTGGCAGATTCTTTTACATCATAGTACTATTAAGTTAATTCATTTCCTATTCTACTATGATAGTTTGTTATTGTTAGGACATGTATTGTTGGGCTCCAATCCTTTCTACCATATAGTACACAACGGTTGGCTGTATTATATATTACGTTGGGTGGTTAATATAAAAGCTGATTGATTAATTTGAAAAGATTAAAAAAATTAAAAAAATTACTTTAAATATTTATATTATCATTTTTTAAATTAATTTACCTGACTTAATTATAAACCAATATATAATACTCCTCCGGTCCTAATTATAAGACCCAATTGACTTATTTGAGGAGATTAAGGAAGTAAGTTAAGTTGGTTATTTATAATAAATAAGCGTTGTCATTCCTAAAATATCCTTGCTAATTAAGTATATTGGCTAAAACTATCATTATTAGAAGGATTATCTTGGAAAAAATGCATAAATATAATAGACAAAATGGATTAGGGTCTTATAATTAGGACCAAATAAAAAGTCAAATGGGGTCTTATAATAAGGACCGGAGGAGTAATTGATACGTATAAGTATTTTTAAAAAATCATGTAATATACACTATACTTAAGTTATTATTAAATTTTTTCAAACTAGTCAAATAGGTCATATATTAAAAATAAGATGTAATATTTCTGAAAAGTAAGGTGGCCCATTGTGTCTAGGTGTCGGTGAGCTGTAAAGGGTTGGACCATCAGTACATGAACACATGAAGACGATTCGCTTGCTGGGAATGGTTGTAGCAATCTCCGATATTAATCCATTCTGAGGATTATCTTGTCTTCTGAAAATTGAGGAACAGTTCAAAATGTAAAATAAATTTATGCATTTATGTTTATTAAAAAATTAATTAAAATCAGTTTAAAATATGTAAGACATTTTTTTCGTCCAAATATGTTATTATTAATAAAGAGAATAAATAAAAGATGCAATAAATAAATTAAAGAAAAAAGAGAATATACGTGAATAACATTAGAAAAAATATCATTTATTTTCACTAACTTATGTGTGAGTGGGGCTCTCTAAAATTTACAAATATCATTTATTTCTTATTATATTTCAAGCATTATTTAATACGGCGGTTAGACCATTTTTCCCATGAGTTTATAAAAGGTACTCATTTTATAAGAATATTGTAATATGTCCTAAATTTATATCGGGAAAAAAACCTCAATGTCTTTTTATTTGCCACAAACCTCTATGTTGATACGCTAGTTAAAATTAACGTAGTACTCCTCCAGTCCTTAATATAGGACATGATTGTTAAGTTAATTTTAATCCTAAATATAAAACCTATTTCTTATATTTACCAATTTTCCTAAATTAAGGATATTAAAAAAATAATTATGGTGTTTTAGGAAAAACATGTCATATTTCTTATAATTAACTAACTTACCTAACTTTTTTAATCTAATCAAATTAGTTATATAGATCTTATATTAAGAATCGAAAGAGTATATATTATTTTTTCCTGTAGTGGTGAAGTGGACAAGGAAGTAAGTGGAGACAATGCAATTTCAATAACTATTTTTTCTACTCTAAATTTTTATTTTGTATTGACTGTAGATGAATTTTTCAAAATTCTATCTCAACCAACTATTAGTGTGTGGTTCTCTGGCCCAAAAAAAAAAACTAATGTGTAGGTCTTGTACATTATATTTTGAGTCCAATATATATATATAAATATATATATATAAGTTGCATTACCTTTGGGTCTTGTATATAAATTAGACGCGTGCTTTTGTTATTTTTTTTAGGGTTAATATCGTTGCTGAACCTTACAGCTTAATTTAATTTTGGTTTTGGTTTCTGTAGTTTTATAAGGACTTAATCTTAGTTTAAATATAAGAAGAATCAAAACCAAAACTTAATAAAAATACATGGGCCATTCGTTAAACTCAAATCTAAAAAAACTACGAAACTGTAGGGATCAAGACTAAAATTATCACATTACAATAACTGACAATAATATTAATCCTTTTTTACATAGATTATATATATAGATATTTTGTAATATTCGAAAAGAAAGTGATACAGATTAAAGAGTAGCAAACACTACAACAACAAAAAACTTTCAGCGGCGATATTAAGATTTGTTGCTAAAAATCTTAACCACAAATATTACCATTGAAAGTATACTTTTAGTAGCGACTTTTAGAGTCACCACTGGATATTAATTTTCCAAAGTAAGACTTTTAACAGTGACTAATTATGTTGCTGCTGAATGAAGCTTTCAATGGCGAGTCAACATGTCGCCACTGAGGGACCTTTCAACAACAACATTGAATATCACCTCAGAAAGTCTATTTTTAATTTTTTTTTATTTATTTTAAATTTTTTGAAAAAGCTATCATATTTAGACAATAATTTTGTTCATTAATATATTTGTTATGACAAAATAAAGTTTTTCACATGTTGTTGTGTTAGAGAGAGAAAAAGATAATATGGTGTGTGTAAGAGTAAGAGAGAGGGAAGAGAGGAGTGAAGAAGGAGTAATGAGTGTGTGTATAAAAGTAAGATTTATAATTAAGTATGTGCGAGAGAGTAAATAATTACGATAAAATTTATAATTAAATTTTATTTTTTTATATACTATTTTCCTATCTTATAATTATAAATATAAATATTAAAATAAATAATATAATAGCTTAAATAATTAGAAATTAAAAAAAACATAACACAAATAATTTTGTATGAATTATATTTTTTATACAAAATTGATATTATAAATAATATTTTAATCAAATAAGAAAATCAAATATAAATATTTAACAATATTATTATTATTTAATAATATTAATATAATAGCCTTTAACAGTGACTTTTTATTGCCGCCGAAAGTCTATTTCAATATCTTATTACCATTATATAATTGATTTTACAATAATTATCACTAATCATTTCGACTCAATGACAAGAAGAAAGAACACAAAAGGAGGAGGCCAGGATTTTGAATCACGAAAAACTATATTTAAGGTGTAATATATTTTAGTTAACGTGATATATGAGGAGGGGACACATGGCATAAGCAAGGTGGTGAGTGACATGGCGGTGGTGATGTTTGCAACGGTCGGCGATGATGTGGTAGCAGGCAAGCAGCCAACGTTGGTCCTATTTTTCTCCAGTGACACTTTTAGTAGTGATAAAAAGGTGTTCAAAGTGCCGAATGGTATTTTAACGGGTGATTGAGCTCAAATTGTTTGTACTATTTGATGACATTTTCTATGTTTTTGTCACACTTTTTGGCTCATTTTAATGATATTTGTGCTTAATGAGATTGAGAGTCTTTGTTCTAAGTTGTAGTGTTATTGAGGGTAAAATTGTCATTTTATTCATTAATTGCATTCAATTAATTACTGGGATAATCGATACCTCAAACCATTTCTTTTTATTTCAGGACACTCAAGAAGAAGAGCCAAGAGTGAAGATCAAGGAAGTCCAACACACAAGACGCAACAATGACGCCTCTGCCAAGGTTCGCCGCGGCCAACTTCTATCTTCGCTGCGGCGAAGAC